AAATGTCCCGTGTTGATCGCACACAATGGTTACAGCTTTGACTTCCCAATACTTTACAATTCCCTCAAGGCACAAGGTCTTCTCTCTCAGTTCCTGCAAATTAATGTTAAGCTGCTAGACTCGCTGACCTTACTGAAACGACATGCCAGCCAGAAAAACTCGCTAATCCATCAATGTAAGTCAAAGTCGATTTCTGCACTACATCAGAGGAGTTCGGCGCCCATGATGCTACAGAAGATGTGAAAGCGCTTTCCAAGATTATTTTTCATCCAGACATTCGAGTGGATCCAAATGAAGTGTTAGCTATTTCTAAGACCATGGCCATAGTGGAACAAGAGACACGTTCAAAGTTGCGAACCAAGGTACTCAGTGAAGAATTGAATGGACTAAATCTTTCAAAGCAGCTCAAGCATAAGATCATCCAGGCCGGAATAACCAACACTAGCCTTGCCGATGTTTTCAAGAAGAAAGGAGTAYGAGGTTTATTGATCTTGTTATCCTTGCCAATAAACGTCGAGATCCTTAGACAACCAAAAGCAAAACCGAGAGTAACAAAAAATGTAAAGGTCTTGCAAAAACTAGTGGCTTCCTTTAAAAGCGCAGTATAAAAATGAAAACTAAGTTTACGCCTATCTAATATGCAGCACTCATACTGAACTATGTTATCATTGTGTCAAAACTTGACGATAAGTAAGCAATATATTTTAACAAATATTGAGCATAGACGATGGAATTGCCAAAAAAGTCAAAAACAACTCAAATTAAAGTTTCCTCTAGTCCATTATTCATTTAGAACAGACTGCGTGACAAAGATCGTGATGTATGACAAATCCCTTAATCCCCCTGTTGTTTTATAAAACAATGAAGAACGTCAACAAAGGCTTTCGCATAACGTACAATCATCTNACGGCTTCATATAATAATACATTGACTTCGCCGTGAAAGCAATACAGGTGCTGAGCCTGGGCGTCCTGCGGTAAAACAATCTATCATGTAATATTACATTACAATGCGGTTATATTATGATATGCTAAAAGGAGTCATTTAAACTGACTCTCCCATCGCAATGAAGCTCGATGTCCAAAAAAGTCAGTGAATGTCCAATCTCAAATCAAGTCTATTTTCATTCTAAAATTCCGAGTGTTACACACCCTTTTCCAATCAACGATGTTAATGTTAAGAGAGAACAATGTCGCCGCGCTCCTGATAACAGCATGGGTTGCCATCTCGTTTTTCAACGCCTTTACTGCTTCGCCCCACATGCCTGGTCTTCCAGGAAGAGAAGGGAAGTCAGCATTTGAGAGATACTGAAAAAGGTCATCTTTCCCAGTTGAACCATCCTGTAAGGTGTAGAAATAGAAAACTCATTGAAAACATCAGTAATATGGGATCGAATATATTTTGAATTACAATATTTATAGACCCCCAACAGACCATTCTCATTTTTGATTATTATTATATACCGTAACTCATTTTATAAGCCCCTATCAAATACCTCCACCTTCTCATAAGCTCTCTTATTGGACGAGAAAATCGATTTCTGCGGCACAGATGACTGAAACGCTGCGCTTGTACTCAGTTGCTTACCCATTGATCAAGTCCAAAATGCATTAAGACAACAAGCTAGGATCGTTGCTAAAACTACCCACATTCAAGTCACATACGAGGGTCCACAATAGGTTTTGCGGGATGCGGGATAASCCGTTTTTTGATGGCGGGATTCGGGATCTGGACAAAAATTTTGACGGGATGCGGGATCTTAAAATGCAAGACGGGATCAGGATAACTCTGATAATTTGCTGCGGGATACGTGATTTCTGCGTCCTAAGTTTACCTATTAATTATTAGACTGCCTGTGCATTTTATTACGAGATATAGCCTCTCTGACCTTTCTGTCCTTACTGGACGATTACTGGACAAAAGCGGACACGTCACGATAAAGGTATCTACATGCATGTGTAATAGTAAGGTCATGTCAGGTATCAAAGCAACTTTTAACTAGTTATAATCGATCATTATTATCAGTCTTTTCAAGAACTTTCAACGACTCCTTGAGATCTCAATTCAGAACCTTAAAGTTGTTTAGCCTTTATCAAGTAAAGCGACCAAAATGAACACCACAAACAACACGAAATGAAAGACTGTTTTGTTAAGTAATGCTGCAAAAATAAACACCACAAAGACGAAATGAAAAACTGTCACATACGACGACTACATACAACAGGTTACATACGACTACATACAGGTTACATACGAGTAACATACGACTACATACGACTACATACATTCAAGTTCATTTTTGTATTTTAAAATTTTTATTTTTTAATTTTTTCGTACTTGTATGTAGTCGTATGTTACTCGTATGTAACCTGTATGTAGTCGTATATTACTCGTATGTCGTCGTAAGTTTTAGCAACGATCACCTCCCCTCCTCCAAAAGCATACCAAAAATGCGTTTACAAATATTATCGATCTACGTTAGAAAAACGTTTACCGGGCTAAATCGATACTGTAAGTAAGAAWAGAAATATCTACCTCATTTAGGATATCAACTACTTGGTTTGASAGCATAAATTCTTGAACCATAGATACCACGCGCTCAATATCCATGCCTATGAATCTTGCAATGCAMTGATAGAAACATCTATTATAGGATCCAGTAGGGTCCAATACTAGAGTCAAACCTATTTTAGAAGCCTCGACCAAACATGAAAGTCGCTTGTTAACTGTTTCCATCTTGCATGTTTAAAGAAACACGTGCATTAGTAGTAATTCTAAATTGATGACCGTTGAAAATCAGTATCATATARGTAACTTACCATTAATAGCTGTTGAAAATCCTATCTTTTTTGGTAAAAGTAAGAATAGTTATAGTTGCAAGCAAAWGATAAAACGGATTGTCTCTGACGTGAAGTAAGAAGCGTTGTCAACTCGTTCAGCACAGAACTCGTGAAGGGGGGATATGCATGA